ATCGTATCCAGACTACCTCCGTTAAGATAATCAGCGCTCACACCCAGGGTGGGGGCAGCTTTAATCCTTGCAGCAAACCAGAATCAATCCTTGACCCCCACAGCACATACCATAGATCCAGCCACCTCCAAAAAGCCCCACCTATGACTGCATGAGACTTTGGGGGACATCTAGATACAAGCCATAACACGGAGCCTATCATAGTCTGGCTCCCTGTCCTCCAGTCTTACCCCCTCCACCTCGCATACGTACCCCACCCTCAGCCTATGCAAGGCCCAGAAGGTCCCACCTTCGTGACTTGGCTGCACCTTATAGATCGTCTTCCCCTAAGAGGCTTCCCTTCATTCCCTCAGTAAAGAATCATGAAACCTTCCTTTGAACTTGTTTTTTCTTTTGTTTGTAACATTGTAACTGCTTTGTTCTGTGTCCAGCCATGAGCTAGAGACACACAGGTAAGCACAAGTGCAAATAATACTTCAGGGAAACGGATTGAGATCCTGTATATTGCAGGGACAGGAAGAGACTGTAGGCAGAAGGTCAGGTAGAAAGACAGGGTGGAAGAGCCTTTGGAGGAATGAGGTTTGGCCTTCCTAGGTTAGTTCTCCCCTCTCAGCCTGCTTTTGTCTGGCACCCAAATAACCAGATCCTGGGATTTTCCTACCACGGCTCTGAGTCAACGGGAGTTAAAACAAGGACCAAGTGCTCTGGCCCCACAAGGGCCCTCATGCTCAGCACACCCCAACCCCTTTCCCTTTCCCTGTGGCCACAATGCTTGCTCTCTTGGCCTGGGGGAACCCAGGGGAGCCCTTCCACTGACTGCAGCCTGTATGAGCCAAGCACTTTGCCCAAATTCGGGGCTCATCAAACATCCAAAAGCCTGGCAGGTGAGCAGCGCACAGAAATGCCTTCTGTTCTGCTGGGTGCAGCCAGGAGCCTGTTTAGTCCATTAATCTCTACAGCAGCCCTGGGAAACAAGTCCTGTTTCAAGCCCTGTTGCAGTGAAACCGAAGCTCTGAAAAATAACAGATTTAGCCAAGCTCTATTCACTGGGAGGTGGACTCAGGATTTGCCTGGCTCTGCCTCTAAGCCTGGGCCTTCCCTACCATGGAGAGAGCATGGAAAAGGACACCAAGGGCCCAAGGCTGCAATGCCCAGGCCCACTTAGTCAGAAGCCAAAACAGAGCCCCAGCGGTACCCAGAGCATCTGAAGCTTGAGGTCTCTGGGCTCCAGGGCTGCCTCTTGCAGCTGAACCTGACCTCAGAATTGGCTCTGGAGATGAGGCACAGCGCTCACCTGCCGAGAGCTCAGGAGTTTAGAGCCTGTGGCCAGTCAAGGGTATGAATGTGGGTGGGCATGGGATCTGAGCTGCTGAGGGCTTTCTCTTGCTTCTGCTGAGCTGGAGTGGGCCCCTCCTGCCTGCAGAGACCCCTCTCCACAGATGGGCCTGCCATCTGCCCTCAGAAACCTCAGGGACTGGTGGGTCCCTGAAGTCAGAGTCTTGGGCCCCTGACAGAAGCACAGAAAAGCACAGACCCCAGCAGCCTTGATTCACGCCTTGCTTTGCCCTGCAAAACCACCAGCTCTGAATACTGTGTTTTCCTCTCTGTGCCTCAGTTTCCTTAGAGGAGTGTTAGGTAAAGGGCTCAGTTCAGCACCCAGCAGCAGCTCAGAAATTAGCAGCTGCCACTATCACTATGGTCCCTGGTGGCCGCTCCAGGGCTCAGGCTTGGGCAGGGCCTGCCCCCTCCACTCCCCAGGCTGGGAGTGCTCCTTCCTCGGGACAGAGTTGAATTGGAGTGCTCCTGCCAACCCCTCCCTCCTGGCTTGGCAGCCTGAAAACAACGCTGGCCAAAAATATTTGTGTGGGTGGTGGAAAGTTAACTTTTCCGCCTCTGTCTTCTTTCCTGGAAACCGTGGCCACCGTCAAATACAGCAAAACAGAAGCAGGGATGGAGTGAGGCGGGGCTCCCACGGGGAGTCAGAGAACCCTGCCCCCGCCCCACGCCCACCCCTGCTGCCTCGGCCATCTGGCTCTGTGGTGGGGGTGGGCTGGGGGCTGCCAGCGCTTAGCATCTCAGATGCTGCCACGCCAGTGTCCCTCAGCCCCTCCCACACCGTCTGCCTCAGTCTGCATCATGCCCTTGGGGAAACAGAGTCCACAGTACCCAAGGCACCTGCCCAGCTCACACAGCCAATCAGGTGTCTGGAATTCTACCCGCACTTCCTGAGATTCTCTGAAACTCAAACAGCAGCAAGTTGGCTGCAGCTAGTGAGTGACACTAGCTGGAGAGAAATGAGGGCCCGAAATGTCTCTCCTGTATCCCTGAGTCCAGCTTCATGGGCAAGATGACAACGCTAAGTTTGGCTCCTAGGCCTGTCACTTTCTAGCTGTGTCACTTTACCTATCTGAGCCTCAATTTCCCAACCTCTGAGATGGGATACTAATAAACTATTTGTCTCATGCAGTGGTTGTGAGAATTTATGGCAGTAACCTAAGCAAATATCCCAGGAGGGAGTAGGGGCTTAGTGTCCTGAGCTAACACCCTTTCCCTGGGCTCAAGCCTGGCTTCTTTTCTCCCGATTTTCCCTGTCATGCAGGCTGCAGTACAGGTGCCTGGTTATCTTTCTGATTCTGACGTGCGTTTGCCTTTCCCCTGGTTGGCTCTGATCTGCCTGGTAATGCGCTTATCTCTCTGCTGCCTACCAGACTCCTGGCACCTCCTCAGCCAGGGGCTAGGGCCTTGACCTGCAGTGCAGAGCCTGACCCCTGCTGAGGCAGAGGTATGGCATTGTCACTGAAGCCAGCCCAGGTCCGAGGCGATCTATCCATGTCCACAGATTTCTCAGGGCTCAGGATTCTTACTGTACAAAGGGCAGCCAGTGGCCGTGTGTGTTTCTCCTCCATTTTGCAAAGGATTTGTGGCACTCAGACTTCACACAGCCAAGCAGTGGTGGAATCAAGTCTTCAGACAAGATCTGCTCATTCCAGAGTTTCCTCCCAAGTGTAATCACTACGAGCTCTGGTTTAAGTGTTATCTGCCCAGCCCTAAGGATTCTCCCCACCTTCGCAAATGAGTTCCAAGCCTTTGTCCTGAGCCTGCAATTCTCTCCTGCTCTCCAGACCCCAAAGTAGAACTGCTTCCTGCTCTTCTTCCCTGGAAATCCAACACATCGAACTCGTCTTCCTACTCCACTGAGCACTTGCTCCTTGCCGTGTATTCCTAATCTCTATTGCTGCTGTCAGAGCTGGGAACCTGCACTGCTTCTCAGACTCCGCCTCCTTCCTCCACGCCCACTCTCCATCTGCCTCCAAGCCCAGCCAGTCCTTCCCCTCCTCCCAGCCCCCCAGAGGAGCCTGCATCCCCTTTCCTGATTATCATCATTCTTAACATGCAGGCGTAATAATATAATTATTGTTATTTTTCTTATCACTCGCAGCTCTCCCAACCAGACCTGAGTCTTCATGAGCCAGATTTGCATAGCTTCTTTGTCCTCACCGTGGCTGCAGCAGTTCAGGGTATCTGAAATAGAATGGGAGCATAAGAAGTTTCTGTGGAATGAGAGAACAGCCAACACATGTTAAATCATGGCTTAGAAACCGTGCTGAGCCCTCCGCATGCATTTTCTCTTTTTCTGCTGAAGGCAACACTTCGTAGGAGAGTGTCCTGTGCCTCCTATATGCAAATGCTTGGCACTAGGAATGTTTCAGATTTCAGAGTCTGTCATGTTGTGGAATGTATGTAAAGCAATATCTTAGGGGTGGGATCCAAGTTTAAACCTTAAATTCAGTTATGTTTCACATGCACCTTGTATACAGTGGCGCCTTGGTTTACAAACTTGTTTTATGGTTCTGGGAAAGGTGGCTGTGTTTGCGTTTGAGTGGGGAAGATAGCTGAGGTCATGTTTGTCACTGGATGCAGTTTGTGAACAGACACTAAACTCTGCCCAATAAATTCTGCTTTTGTTTGCAAGCCATCTGAATGAGGCTTTACTGCATATAATCTGAATGTCATTTTACACAATATTTTTAGTGTGCCTGTCTTTTGACTGCGACCTGCCACGTGAGGTGGGTAGTAGAAAGTGAACTTGTGGCATCGTGTTGGTGCTCACTTAGTTTTGGTTTTTAAGAGAATTTTGAGTTTTCAAATTAGTGGTGCTCAACCTTTACAGTTACTGTACCCACCGTACAGTTAGGAAAGTGGAGGTTGAGACTGACACACAAGTGGCAGAGCTGGGACTGTAACTTAGAGCCGGAGCACACACTCCTGCTGTCTCTCACAATCTCCTCAGGGAGTGCCTGTCTGCAGCCTTTTACCCTCCACCCCCAATTCCTGTGATTCCTGTGGCATGTCTACCTTTAACGGAATGTAAGAGGATTCTTTCTAAGTGGTGCCCAGATGAGTGTTTTTGAATAGCCAGATATTTATTTAACGTGCAGGAGAAATGACTTAGCACGATATTCTTATGGTTTTCCCGCCATCATTGCTTAAGGTAAGTCTAAAGAAATAGGAGTACATTATGTGAAGTTGAAATAGTAAGATAGTAGTGTCAGGTGGCAGAAGGATCTGGTACAAATCTAAGGTATTTTGTGACTGAAGCTGAGAAAGCACTTCCCTTTGGAAGTGTAGGTCCTGCACCCCGAACACCAGCCAGTTCTCAGGTCCATCCAAAGAAACGCAGCCCAGAACACCCAGTAAGCTGTCTCACACGCATTTCTTTTCTGCCCACACAGATAGCCTGCCCTGTGGGGCCCTGCAGGCCAGAGGTCAACAGGTGCTGAGAAGGAGGCGTTGAGGCCACCACTTTACCAGCCCGTCAGCCGAGGGCCTATCTTACCTCTCAGCTGAGCCTTGCCTCTGTGCAGCGGATCAATCAGCAGAGGAAGACAGATCGACAGCCAGCCAGAGCCTGACGCAAGGGGACTGGAGAGCAGGGCTCACGCAGGTGGCTCCAGCCCAGGCCTTGCTGGCTTCTCTGCACCACCAAGGAGAGGAGCATCATGCTGGGCCCTCACTTTCCACCCTCGCCCCTTGGGCCCAGCAAAGGGACACCTTCCTCCTGCAGCTTCCAGATCCCTGATGGGAGCTACAGGTGTCTGGCCCTGGAGGCAGAGGAGAGCGGCAGCGAGGGGGGCCTGCAAGGAGAAGTGGGGCTCACGGACCTGGAAGAGGAAGAGGTGGCCTGCAGAGCCATACAAGGAGTGCAACAGCTGCCCAGAGTCCCGGGCACTCGGCCACCCAGCTGCTTCAGTGAAGCACAAGAGGGGACCCCACGTGATAACAGGGCCAGCCAAGAGTGGGATGTGGCGACAGCTCGGCGGGTGATGATACCCAGCCCCAGTGCTGGCCCTGAGCTCAGGGTGGGCCAGAAGCCAGGTAAGTGTGCATCCTTTTCTCCAGAAAAACAGGAAACCCGAGGGGCCTTCAGCATTTGTCTTGGTCATATGTTGTTATGATGGGTAACAGTCGTGTCATCTTGCGAGTGTGCCCGGGTTCACAGTCGTGGAGAGCTAGGAGCAGCTGTGAGTTACGCACAGTCCAGCTGTACCACATCGAGCCCCACGCCTGTCTCTATGGAGAGGGCAGGTGAGAAGGCAAAGAGAAAGGCACATTATCATGCCTGCTGGGACAAAGGTTCATTTCTCTCTCTCACCTGCTTTTGACCATTAGTGGTAACAAGTGTCTGTAAAGTCCCAAGCAGCTAATGTGGCAAAACCCAAAATTCAGTGTACTTGGGTGCTGGGGTGCAACCCCACCCAGAAGAGAACAGGTGTGACCACTACCCTCCCTGAGCTGGTGGGGCAGAGAGGGTGCCCTGAGCTAACACAGATCTCCGTGGAGAAACCGAGACCAAGAGTGAGCCAAGGTGTGCAGGTCCGCAGCAGAGCGGTGGCTGGGCTGGGCCCAAGTCCCACTCCTAGGCCTCGGTTTCCCATCTGTCAGAGATGACAGAGGCAAAGGCCAGGACACCTGGGCAGCACTGGGATCCAATGACAGCTGCAGGGGGAGCTCCGTGTGTGCAGCGGGAAGAAAGGAGGGAGTGGGGATCACTTTCCTGCAGCGCAGGGTGAATCACCTACACCAAGGGCCCATGGAAATGCTGAAGTGGGTCCAAATGGGGAGGACGTGAGCTGGGCCATGCTCAGCTCAGCGGGAGCTGCTGCCAGCAGATCCTGGGGGTGCAGGGTGTGGGGGAGACACAGTCCTGGGAGGGCTTGTGCGTCAGGAAACCAAAGGAACACTTCATTTCTCTGCAGGCGTCGCTGACGCCCTGGCTGGCATCTCACCAGCCTTCCCGCCCACTCTGCTCTCTGAAATAATTCTCTCCAGGCTGATCACCCCCTCACCATGGACACAGCTCCCACCCAGGTTTGGGTCACACAGGGTGTTGGGTGGAAGAATGAAGGGACCTTAATGCCTCTGGGGAGGGGAGGAAGAGCCTAGGGAGACTCAGCTGTCCTGAGTTGTGAAGAAATACTGGTCCCCTGGAACCCAAAGCCTCTAGGATTTGCTCCCTCCCCTCACACAGATCCCAGCTGGGGTCAGGAGACTGGGATGCCGCTTCTGTACTCAAAGCCTGCTGTCCAAACCCTAGCAAGTCCTTGCCTCTTGGTGAGTTTCCATTTTTTCATCTGTGAAAATAAAATAAAAACGTAAGCCCCGTCTACTGGATAGAGGTGCTGTGAGGTTGCAGTGATCTCAGACGTGGCGCTTTTACAGTACTCTAGGTAGGGATGCTGATGATAATTGAAATGATCATAATTAGCTCAACAATAAAACAGCTGTTGGTTGAGCCCTGATGTGCTAAGCCCGTTGTACCAAGAGCTTTGGCACCACTGCCGTGACCTCATGGCAATCTCAAGGGGACACACTGTTATTATCTCCATCATGCAGAGGAGAAGATTGAAGCTCAGAGACAATAAGTGTCTTGTCCGAGATGTGGGGCTAGCAAGCTCCTATACCACAAGCCATCCTTGGTGTTTTAAATTTGAGGCTTCTGCTCTTTGCGAATTATAAGTGTTGCTTGTGGATATGCACAGAAAAAGAGACCACGGATGGGGAGGAGAGAAGCAAGGATTACCTTTCTGTGCCCTGGTCACATCTCACAGCAGCAAGCTAGGTCGGTGGGCGGTCTCCTGTTCTCTTTATTTTACTACAGCCTTTCAAGGCAGGAATTATTTCCCCTGTTTACAGGAGAGAGAGCTGGCTTAGAGCTGTACATTGCCTGTCCAAGGCCACACAGTCTCTACCAGCACGGAAACTGATCGTGTTCTTCTGGTGTTGATCAATCCGGTCATTTCTCTCCTTAATCGTCACCCAGTGGGCCATCCTGTTCTAGGGATGGCCAAACATACAAGGGATAGAAGGAGCAGGAGTAGCTTCAGGAGGACAGCATGGACAGGGGCTTTTCAGAGGTGAGGGCAGGAAGGAAGCTGGGCCTTGCGGGAGTGTCAAACTCCAGGTGGTCCTGGGTTACAGCCACGAAGCACTTTCTGCTCCCTAGGGAAAGGATGTGGCCAAAGTCCCTTCCTTCTGCCTGGAGAGCCACGAGAAACCTGTGGCACTGCCAGGTTATTGGCTTCCTTGTAACGCTTCCTCCCATCACTGCTAGAGATGAGAAGAATCTCCAGACAGTTACACCCATCCTCCTGCCATGTACCCCCCTCTCCAGAGTGCAGTGTTAAGTACGGGCCGTGGCACCTGCTGCCTGGGGTGCTGCAGAGACTTGTATTTGGGGTTGGTGAGTACTGATACCTTTTCTCTGAGAGCTGGGTAGCAGTCAAGCAGGACAGGCTGGTAGGGAATGGACTACAAAGAACTGAGGTGGGCCAGCCTGAAGCTCAAGTTTCTTGCCACCAGTGGCTACCACTTGGGAGAATATCTGTGGGAAGGGATGTGTAATAAAGGGCTCATAATCAGGTTGTAGCCAAACACAAGCTGATCCACAGCTCACTACAAACCTACAGCGGGTCCTTTTCATAAAGGTGCAGTTGGTCACAACTGGCAGGGCTCGCTAAGATTATTAGGTTTATGGAGACTCTGGAGTCCAGAGATGTTAGGCAATTTGCTCAAAGTCACACAGTAAACTGCTGACAAAACTGAAGGTTGGAACCCCAGGCATCCCAGTTCAGCTGCCAGGCATGTGCTAAATGCTTTGTATGGATTTTATCATCTCATCTAAACAGCCCTGTGAAATTTATACTTCTATCTCTGTGTTACAGAGGAGGAAACTAAGGTATAAGAAGCTTCAGTGAATTGTCAGTCTCACAACCTGTGAGTGGAGGAGCCAGGATCTGAACCCTGAGAGGTCTGGGACTATGCTTTTAAGCACCCTTCTCCATGGAGATGGAACAGCAGGTTGTGTCCTTCTTTCTACTTGAAGGAGGGGAAAGGTAGTTTAGCCTCCAGGAGTAGGTGAGAGATTAGGCCACTCTGGGTGCACCGGGGACTCCTGGGACCCTCTGTGATCCAGGCTGTCCTTTGCTGATAGCCATTTGTTATTGGGGTGGGGTGTCCAGAGGATTTGCAGGACCTTCACTCCACTGGCCCTCGCTCTAAACCTTGGGGAAGGGGGCTGCCAGGGGGGAGGCTCCCCTATCAGGTATGGTCCTCCAGGGCCACATCCATCTTGCCAAGGCAGAGGAGCTGCACCCAAGCTAACAGCTCATAGGGTTCCCGGGCCAAGGACAGGGCCTGCTCCTCGGGCTCCTGGAGACCCAATAGGCAGAGCAGGAGGCTGGCAGGAAGCTGCCCATTGCAGATCCCACTCCCCACCCCACAGCAGCAGCGGATGCTGTGTGCTCACAGACACCCACGGGCACACACAGTACACCCAGGATGTCTATATGCCCTGTTACCATGCAAACATTGTCACACGTAGGAATTTTCGTATCTGCACGTGTGCAAGTGCCCTCAGATGTCCCGGCAGCTCTGCCACAGATGCACACGGGCAAACATGCTCCTGAAGGCTCCCATCAAGCCTGTCACATGGCAACACACGTCTCTGACTGACTTGCAGAGGAACAGTACCACGTGGAAACACCGAGCAAGCGTGTGCACGCTTCCTCGGACAGGCACTCACATCCCCTCCTGCAGGTACGGCTAAAAGCATGTTCCGTTTTCCATTTTCCTGGGCTGCACACCTACACTTTGAAAGCTCTCTTGCATTCATAGTTTCTCCTATAGGTGTATCCGTTCTTGCACACCCACCGTCACACACCTACGTAAAGACAGAACCACTTTCTCCCCTTTTTCTTTCCCCCTCTCTTTCTCTTTCATACTCGCCCACACAGTAATCCTAGCCTCTCTCTCTCCCTCTCACCCACACTGTTTGTTTCCTGGTTTCCCACCGTCTTTGCTATAGCTACACCTCCAGCACATCACTCAGTGTAAGCAGCACCCTGTTGGTGACAATCTCTAGGACCCCATTCCTGTTCCCCAACTTGGTACAATAGGACAGGAGCAGCCACAGGGTCAGAGGAACTCTCTGGAGCCCGGGAGGCCAGGCAGAGGGATGGGAGTGGCCAGAAGCAGAGAGGGCCTGTCTCTTCAGTCACCACCTGTGCTCTGAGCCCGCCCACTGGAGACAGGAGTGCCCTCAACCCCAACTCCCGTGGGCCCACGTTTCAGAGTGAGGAGAGGGCATCCATCAGCATATTTCCAACTTCCTACAGCGGGACTCTAAACACTGCTCTTGATGCAAAAGATAGATATTTTCTGCATCCTGGTAGAAGAGGGAAAACTCCTTGGAAAACCAGGCTACCACTTTCTCAAGCTTGGTCCTGCTTCAGCACTGCTGGGGTTCGAAGGGTGCTTGCTCTCCCCAGGGAGGGTCTTGGGAATGTGGGCAGATGGACTTTTACATCATCCTATATGAATGATGCGCACAGACCACAGCCTAGGCCGGCACAGCCTAGCTCAGTGTCAATGACCTGGCTTTTGAGGGCGAGGAGCACTCAGCTCTACCGAGGCCGCGCAGCACCCCTGACCTGCTGCTGACCACCAATCAAGTCGACAGCCAGCAGCAGGCCAGCGGGCGGTAGGGCCCTCCTCAGCTCCGCCGTGCCCAGCCCCACCAAAGGAGAGTTATCGAGGTCACTAAGGCTGAGGTGAAGGGCAATCGGACCCGAGGGGTACTGCATGTGGGGCAGGAGGTGGTGTCGCCTGTGTAGGGTCCAAAGGAGGTCAGCAATGGGAGGGGCGGAGAGAACAGGGACCGAGAGCTGGCAATGCTCTGCGCGAGAGGACAGACGGACTCAGGGACAGATAGGTGAACCTAGGGACACAGAACGATGAGGGAACTGAGACGAGCGCCTGGCCGCAGACAGCGAGCGCAGAGCAGGACAGGGGTGCTGCCCGCCCGCAGGAGGGAGGCT